ATTTGTTATGAACAGTATCATTTCATGTTCTCTTCAATCTGGTTAATGGGTTCTAGAAACCCATTAACCTAACTAACGTTAAATCATAACGTAATGTAACGTTATGTAACGTACCAACAATTGTAACGTTACAGAACTTTAAATAACGTAAATGTTATCTATATAACGTAAGCTTACGTACCTTTACGAAGGTTGGTAACGTTAGTTTTAGGTTTATATTGAACTTTAAATTTACGTAATATAGTAGCGTAAATTTACGTTACATAACGCAAGATTTAACGTCAGCTTAAGGTTTTCTTTGAACATCAGATAACGGTATTTGACGTAATTGGGGTTCGTAAATAAATGTTAATTTACGAAATATTGTTATTTTTAGTTTAAAAAATCTTTTGCTTCATTATCTTTTTACAAATTATGGAAAAAGACATTCTAAACTATTTACCAACTGTCATGTTTCGTGAGACACTCGGTAGCCTGATAGGTATCGCATCCTCTTACTGTTGAGTGTTGAGTCAGGGCGGTCACTCACTTCATTCACCAGGCCAGTTACTTGCGAGTCGCATACCGACAAACACATCAGTTACAGTCTCTCTCACATCAGCTGCAGCAGAAGAACAAAAAATGAAGTTTTTTATTTAATGCGTCATTATGTTTGTTAAATTTAGAACAAATGTCACATGGGATAATTGAACAAGTATAATCAACGTTTAACGAAAGCTGGAAGCCATAATTTAACAGAAATAATTAACCATCACTGAATTTGATGTTAAATATGTTTAATAGAAGTACCGTGATTTTTTATATTTACTATTTATTTGTTGGTATATTTTTATTCTAGTTACAGTCTCCCTCACATCAGCTGCAGCAGAAGAACAAAAAAACGAAGTTTTTTATTTTATGCCTCATTATGTTTGTTAAATTTCAAACAAATGTCACATGGGATAATTGAACAAAAGATGGAAGCCATAATTTAACAGAAATAATTAACCATCACTGAATTTGGTGTTCTCAACATAGTGTTCTCTATAGAACAATTAGGCAAGTACAAAGTAATTTTTACATCACAAGTTTAGTACAAAGTGTTTCCTACAAATTAATAGGTAAGTACTATAGTGCTTTACAAAACAATAGGTAAGAACATATGTGTTCTCATCAGAACATTAGGTAAGTACTTCATTAATGTATAGTTTTGTTCATGCACGGAACCATACTTTGTGTTATGTTAATTAACGTTACTTAACGTAACTTCCGTGAAAACTGTGCCCATATTTGGGGTTTCTTTTGTGAAAGCTGCTTCCATGTTAGCGGTTCATTGACATAAAAGTTAGGCTCATGTACGCAACTATATGTGCATTGTTACGTTAAATAATGTTACTCAACGTAACTTCCGTGGAAACTGTGCCCATATTTGGGGTTTCTGAACGTAAAAGTTTGGTTCATGAACGTCAGATAACGTTACACTCAACATTACATAACGTACCATTTTTACGTTACATAACGTAAAAGTGGGTACGTTTTTACGTTCCTGGAACGTTAAATAGTGACGTTAATTAACGTTAATGAGTCCTAAAAGGAACGTTATCTAACGTTCTGAGAACGTTATTTGTCTTGTTGGGTGTTACTCTTGGTATATTTTAAGTGATTATTATCACAATTAGGGTTGTTAATCGTTTTGAAAACTATGTTAAACGATAGTTTTTTGCTTCGTTTTTCAATTGTTTTTAAAAACAGCCCACTCTTTTAAAACTTTTAGAAAACAAATAACGATCGTTTTAGAAAACAAATGTTTTCATGAAAACGATTTGAGACAGTTTTTTATACAATTGTTTTTTAAAAACGATCGCTTTTGAAAAAAACAATCGTTTTTGAAAAAAAAATTATTGACAATTATGTAAACAATCCTTAACGAAGGGTTGTTGTTAACAAAGGGTGTTTGTTAACGATCGTTAATGAAACAACGATTTTAATAACAATGGTCGTTTTTTAGAAAACTATCGTTTTGAAAAAAAAATGTCATGCCAATTTATTGAATGTTGTTTTACAAGAAGTTTAACAGTTGTGGGGGATCTAAAACTTCTTGATATTTTTTTAAACTATTCAATGCTCTTCAGGTCTATTTCCTAGTCTTTGTTAACGAAGGGTCGTCATTAACGACCTTTAACAAAGGCTCGTCTTCAATGAAAAGACGAGTTTTATAAAAACGATAGTTTTCAAAAATGATCATTTTTCAAAAGGATCGTTTTAAAAACAACCATTTTTAATAATGAACTTTTAAAAAAACAATCATTTCATTTCGATTTTCGTTGTCGTTTTTGGTAATGAAACAATCCTAAATTTGAGCGTTAAATTTGACGTTCAAAACTCCTACTTTAAGGGTGGATACGTTTTCAGAATTAGTTTTTTTAAATTATTAAATAACGATGACATAAACTGTAAAAAAAGTTCTACAATAAACTACAGACGTCATGTATAGAAATATGATGAGAAAATAAAAATTAATCTTATCATCGAAAATAAGTAATCTTGCTTAATTATTAGTTTCTATTTTCTCATTATTCTGGTTTCTCATTATTGACAAAGATTTTTGCATATTTTCTACAATTATAATTGAAAAGACGACATTTGAAGAATTTGAACAAATCTGCGAATAAATTCAAAGAAGATAAGAAATTCAATATAATAATGAAAACAAAATATTCGATTTTAGCATTGATTTATTTACAAATTTCTTATGAGAAATATGTTCCTAACCATCTAATTAGATTACTGTATAATTTTTACTTTATTTTTTGTTGTGGTTATTTAATAATTTAAAAAAAAAACTAGTTCTGAAAACATATCCACCCCCAAAGTAGGAGTTTTGAACCTCTTTGAGCTCAAACTCATGATTTACAGATCTTTAAAAAGTTTGATATGTCTAAAATGAATCTGAAAGAAGTTTTCCACAACACTGCATACTCAGTTCAACTACCTTAGATAGCCGGTCACTCCCTTTAAAACATTGCTGAAATATAAACATTTCTTTAATATATAAATTAATGTGTCAAAAAAAATATGTCACATATCTGGTATTTTTTAAGGGGCACCCTAGTGAGGGGGCGTTCAATCAAAAAAGTAAAAACCATTTCTCGAGACAATGAGCCTTTACTTTTTACTACAGAAGTCGGACCTATTGTAATTAAAAAATGGTCCCAAGATAAGTTAAACATTTTAATTGGCAATTACAATTTGATTTACCTAAATTTTTTTTTAAAGAAAACTTTATTTTCCACAGAGATGTTTCACTTATATGTGCTTCGAGAAGAAGTCTAATGTTCTCCTCTGGAGAGAATTTCTTACATTGTTTTGACTGATCATCTGCTCTCCTCTCTGAAAAACGATTGAAAACTATTATATCACATCATTCAGGGGTGTTGTCAGGATTTTTACAATTTTTATTTCTTCTCCAGTTCAGCATAGAAATTATTTTTAAAAAAGGGGGGAAATGAATTTTGAGAATATATACACCCCTGCTTGTTTGTACAGCATTGCTCTATAAAAAAATGGACCATATACTTATTCATATATGGGAAGAAATAATTTTTTTTTCAAATAATTTTCAAGAGCAAATTAAGATATCTAAAAAGGTAAGCATGGCATGGCTTAAAAAGGTCCAAAATCTCAGGCATTATGTGTTGTATTTTCTCTAGTAGGATGTTGTTTCAGGTTGGGGGTGCGGGGAGAGAGGGGGGTAAATTAACAATAAATAAATAAGGCTAGTTTCATACTTTTATTTAAAAATGTTCAGCAAAGAAAGTATTTTTAAAAAATGGAAATGATTTTAAGAATTTTTACACCCCTGGTTGTTTGTACAGCATTGCTCTAAAAAAAAATCAAATTGACCATTTAAACACTACAGTATACTTATTTTTTTCTAGGAAGAAATGATTTTTGAGAAATAATTATCACAAACAAGTTAATATTTTTTTTAAAAAAAAGGTAAGCATGGCATGGCTTAGAAAAAAGGTCCAAAATCAAATAAATCGTGCATTAGCAACTAAGTCAATAAATATTTCAACAGGAATATCACACTAAAACTCACCACAAAATGCAAATAGCTTCTTGATTAAAATAGAAATATTTTCTCCTCCTGCCAGAACAGTACAAAGTTCGTATATTTGAAATACATGGGACATTAGTTCCAAAACTAACACTTGGCCCATTTCTAACACTGAGTGTTAGAAATTGGCACAATCTGAAAGACTGGGTTTTTGTGATCTAGGCCGATATCCAGAGTAAAAGTGGATAATAAAAACTATAACTAACATTTGCATGAATTTAATTTTGAAAAACATTTAGCAAGTAATTCAAACATTAATAGAAATTATTCTGGAGTTCTCTTTAACAAACAAAATCTGTAAATATGTTTGAAAATACAATTATACCTTTTTTTAATCTGTAAAACTTTTGGGTAGAGGAGCACTCGCTAAACTTTTTAACATTCTGTTGAGGTGTTAGTGACTTAGGTTGATTTCTTGAGAGAAGAAGAGGAGTATCATAATAGATCTTTGTTCTCCACTAGAGGAGGAGAACCATTAGAAAATGTCTCACTTCTTTTCTCCATCTGAGGAGGAGGAGTATTCCAAGATCTAATACTTCTTGACTCCATCAGAAGAGGAGGAGTATCACAAGAATTTCCTGATTCTGTCAGAGGAGGAAAATTAAGAGAATAATCCAGGCTTCCTGATTCTAATGGAGGAGATAGAGTACCAGAATTAAGTTAAATACCAGTTCATTTTTTTCTCTTACGAGGAACTCTAGTTGTCTTCAGCAATCCTTAACATTAGGTAGATTTTATGGAAAGTTTCCTAAAAAGGTGTTATATCTATGACTGCACCATTCTGTCAGCAAATGGCAAGTTTTTTGAAAATTTTTATTTTTAAAATCTAAATATTTATCATTTGCTATGAATGCGTTTAAATATATATCGGGTTTTAATTATCGCAGAAAATTATAGCATATTACATGTTTAAAGTTCTAAGATTCTCTGAAAAATCGCAATGATATTTTAAAGTTTTTAAGATTCGTAAATATCTCTCAGCTTCTGTTTCAAGCTCGAGGTCATGTTCTGGTTCAAGGCTAGGTTCTAGTTTAGATTCAGGGCTAGGTTCAGGTGCATGATCAGGCTCAGGTTCAAGGCTGGGTTCCAGTTCAGGTTCGAAGCTAGGTTCAGGTTCATGAAAAGGTTCAGGTTCAAGGCTAGGATCAGGTTCAGATTCAATACTTAAGCGTCTATCATCTCCATCCACCTGAGGAATAGGAGATGAAGCAAGAGATTGAGATCTTGGTTTTCTCTTTCTCTGGGAGATAGAAACAGGGTTTACTGTTCCTCTTGGATCTATCACACTAGTTACACGGACAGTCTTAGAGATTTTTAAAAAAGCACTTCTTGGGCTGGGGGGTTTGCAGGGCCCTCTCCATTGACAGAGAAGTACTAATCAGGGACTTTACCCCAGGCTTGATGGTTCTCAGGGACCTTTCCTCAGGCTGGGGTGTTCTTGGGGACCACTCCCTAGTTTTGGCGGATCCTAGGGACCTCTCCCTAGACTGGGGGGATCTTGGAGACCTCTCAACAGGCTGGGGGGTTCTTGGGGACCTCTCTTTTGACTGTTGGTCACGTCTTTTTGAGCGGGGCATTTAGTATTTTCTCTCTCTCTCTTGGTCTCTGTCTATCTTTCTGTCTTTCTAGCGGTTCGGCAGCCCGGTCTGGCATTTCTGACAGAGAGAGAGAGAAAGAGAGCTACGGCAAAGAAAATAGTTCTTATTGAAATCGATGATTATTAACTTAAACTAATAGTAAAAGACATTATTTTAATAAATTTACATGTCTGCAATAACTTTTGATATTTAATGTACTTTTTAATCATAAAATGTATCATGAACAAATATATCAGTTCATATTAGTATCTCGAGCGAGAAACACCTAGTGAATTAGCTCCGGCTTTGTAGTGATAGTGTGTACACTGGTACTGCAAATCTCAGCAAATTAAGTAAGTACACTAGTACTTATAAACAATCCCCACATATAAAACCTTATTATTCTTCTCTTTTCTCCCTTTTCCTTCCTTATTTTCTTCTCTTTATTGACGGGAAAGTATGGCGAGGAAGCATGGTAACAAAAAAAAAGACCCCCCTAAAGATGGGGTTTTTCAACCATCTATTCTTCGCTTTCTGACCCCTGCTCTGGGAATTTTAAGT